ATATTAAAGCAAAGAAGGAGGAAGACCAAGATTTGAAGCCCATAATTGATTTTTTAAAAGCAAGTGTTTTGCACCCTGCTTGGGAGAAGGTGTCTAGTCTAAGCCCTGTGACAAAGAACTATTGGGCACAATGGGACCAGTTGGAGCTTGAAGATGGTATTCTTCTCCGGAGATGGGAAACTGCAGATGGGAAGGTGACGACCTGGCAAACGGTTATACCGAGAAAGTTACGGGAAGTTGTGCTGCGTCAATCCCATGAAAGTTTAACAGGAGGACATTTCGGAGTTAAGAAGACATTGAGTCACCTACGACAGAGATTTTACTGGATAGGTATGAGGCAAGATGTGGAAGAATGGTGCAGAACATGCAGTACATGTAGTGCTAAAAGGGGACCCAAGCATAAGGGACGTGCTCCAATGAAGTTATATCAAGTTGGCACACCAATGGAAAAATTAGCCATTGACATTGCTGGTCCTCTGCCCCAAACTCGTACTGGAAACAAGTACATTTGTGTGGTGATGGATTATTTCACCAAGTGGCCTGAAGCATATGCAATACCAAATCAGGAAGCTACAACTGTATCTTTGGCTATTAGTGATTTTTTCTTCAGATTTGGTATGCCATACGAACTGCATTCAGATAAAGGCCGTAACTTTGAATCACTGGTGTTCCATGAATGCTGCAAGTTGTTTGGCATACGAAAGACCAGAACAATACCACTTCATCCACAGTCTGATGGGATGGTAGAAAAGTACAACTGGACACTTGGACAGGAATTAGCAAAATTTTGTAATAGCTGACAACATGACTGAGATGTCTTACTCCCTCCACTGTTGATGGCCTATAGGACAGCAGAGCATGAAGCCACTGGATACACTCCAGCAAAGTTGATGTTTGGTCGGGAACTTCGGTTGCCAGTAGATCTGTTAACAGGACGCCCACCTTATGAAGTGTTGCCTGAAAATGTGTCAGAATTCGTGAAAGTGTTATCGGAAAAGATGGATAATATTCACCATCAAGTGCGTTCAAACTTGAAAACGTCTGCTGATTCGATGAAGTTATGTTATGACTTTCTGGATGAAATGTAGTTGGCGATGTAAACCAAAGGTGGTGCATGCCAACAGGCTTTGGCGTTATCACGGTCCACGGTATTTCAGTTGGAACGAAGTGAACAATGAAACAAATGATGTTGCTGAAGACGTGTCACCTGAAAAAGCCACTGTCGAAGAAGAAACTCTACCCGGTTTTGAGAATGGAAACAGCGAAGCCCTTAATGAAGTTACTACCACTGATGTGACTGTTACTGATAATACGACAATTCCCGTGAAGAAGAATCCAACGAGGTGGAGACCAGTATGGAAGAAGATACGTCCTGTAAAATAAGAGACTTTGTTGAATTTTAATTTTGTGTTTGTAAATTCTGTACATTTAATTAAGTAATTGTTAATTTTCTATTGGTTTAATGTAAGTGGCTATTGTTCGGGACGAACAATACTAAGGAAGGGGCAGTGTTACGACAGCGGAAGTCACGTGACCCTTGTAACACGTAATGCGTTCTAGAAAGATCGGGGAACATCACGAATAATCCAGTATTTGCTAGATGCCCTCTATTCTTGTATATAAGTGCGCCAGACAATTAATCGATGTAGAATTGCAGACAGACAGAGACGGACAATTGAGTCAAGCGCTGTAGTAAGTAAGTGCGTGAATCGTTCCCTGTGAATTATAATGCGTTTTTATAAAATTAGTTAAGTTAAATTGACTGTGGAAATTAAGTATATTGCAAAGTTGAATTGAGAAAAAATAAACTAGTTTTATTTAAGAAAGGACTTGTATCGCTGAAGTTTTTCAGAAGGAATTTTTACGGGAAAATAACAATCGACCAGAGACTTAACAGTATGAAACGGGACAACAAATGTTAAGCTGCAGTTGGAGATTGTCATCGAGATTTGTTTGAGAATATTGGGAGCATTTAAAATTTCTGTGTAACAAAATTCTTTATATATAACGCACAGCAATGAGCAAATATACGCCTAGACTAACACACGATCTCCACTAAGTGCATATAAAATGTTACCAGTAGAAAAGCAGCCTTTAAAAAAAAAAAAACATATACGTCTAAAATATCGCTTTAAATAAATCTTCATGTCTTTTACAGTAATTATTCTACGAATTTGTTCAATAAATTTTAATATCATATGTATTAAGTTTTTACTCTCATTCATGTTCTTAAAATTTTCAGCTCGGACATAGGACAGGTAGCCCATTCGGCGCCTGTTCTTTAAAAGTGGGTTTTCTTGGGGATCTTCCGCCCCCCCCCCCCAACAAATTCTACGGCACCCTTGGATTTAATTATCTCAGCTACTAGGTGACCCTGTTTATGGGGTGTTTGTTACAATGTGCTTTGTCGAATGTTGTCGCCTTGCTTCTTCTCTCTGCCTTCCGAACTTCCAGATATTTCTCAAATCATCATATCCTCCTAGTTAATAGCTATGACCTATCTACTTAATTTTTTAATCCCTCGAATTCAGTAACAACAACTTTTTTGCGTGCGGGGCGAGGGGGAATATCAATATCCCTTAACACCCAGCTTAGGAAAGTTTTCTTTCCATTAAAAACTAAATCACTGCCACGGTTTTTGGTTTGTTTGTTTGGCGTTCGTCCTTTACCTCTTAAAGAAGGATTTCACGATTTAAGTAACTATTTAAGCCTATTTTTAGTGTTTATTAATGTTCGGTTACAAATACTATTATTGGACTTAGTGATGGTGAAGGCTTTCGTTGATATTTGTGTAATTATTCCTATGTACGAGGAGCTAGTATATCCAAGAAATGGACTGACTGATTTTAATAGTTACAAGAATTGTAATAATATGAAAGATTTAATCGGTTATTGGTTAAGATAATTTAATATGAGAATTAATTATTTTTATCTTATATAACGACCCTCATTTCCTGGCACTTTTGTCCCAACTCCTTGGTGGCACACTGGTAGGTCTGAGAACTTATAATGCAAAAAACTGGGTTTCGATACTCACGGTAGGTACAAGTAGGAAAACCTGAAGTTTTTCTAGTTCATAATAAGTTAGTGAAATTTTTATAGGGCTTTGATTGTAGTTGTAATTTTTCGAATGAAAAATGTGGTAAATATTTAAGATTTAAATGCATGAGCTTGAGATTTTTTAACAAGGATTAAGTGACAGTACAAGTGGCATTACTTTTCTCTTAAAATCTCATTGCATGGAAATTGAGTATTTGTGAGCTTCGTGATTACCAGGATAGATTCTTTTGAATATAGTTTTTTAGTCACTTGTTTGAATATATAGTAACTTTTTTAAAACTTTCCCTTATACAAATAAATTGTTTTAAGGAATTTCCAGCAAACCTATAAGTCTTGCAAATGTTCCTGAATTGACTATTAAGAGATACCTAAAAATACATTGTTAATTTTATTTTTAAAGATTTAGTTAAATACTTAACTGCTCAGGATTTAGAAACTGTTAATAATTATTTCGCATACACTAGGAAAAGGGACTAAAGTGTAGAACTTACTGAATATTACTGATTTTTTTAAGGAGTACACTATGCGAGTTTTGGTTCGACATATTTGGATTGATCCAAGACTCAGTTTTCCTGAAAACTGCACAGTGACTCGTGTGACCGGAGATAATTGGCACGCAGAGCGTATCTGGACACCTTTAATTTTTATCGTGAACGATAAGAATGCAGACAATTTACTAAGTACTAGTACTGGAGAAGGAAATGTCTTATTGGATATCCAACCAAATGGACAAGTACTGTTGAGTCGAAGGTAAGTGAAAGCAAAATTGCAGAGAAAAATATTAAGCTACAGTTTTAAATGAATCGATTAATAAATCATATTTAGCTACTTTTCTTGCAGTTGTAGTTGACAATTCGTAGTCACTGATCTATGTATTGTTTTTGACAAATAAAACTAATTTACTGCAATTAAAACTATTTTATTGACAGTAGATAGTATTCATATACTATTAATATTATCATGTGTTAACAAATATAATTCACATTTTGTTATTAGGGCTTTGTGTTGGTAGTTAATAAATATTTTGTGATATCAGACAGAATTATAGAGTTGAGATATGATATTATTGTGGCTTATCGACATTCAAGTTCATTTTTAAGTATTTTATTGGGTTAGTGGTAATATTATATAGGTTTGCCTGTGTGTTTTCTGTCACTAGTTCAATTCAACTATTTTACCTTTGGTTCAAAATGTGGAAAGTTCTTTTTTTTCTAAAATGTACACAAATTTTCTAGAAATTGTGATATGATTAAACATCTAGCTTTCATATTTTATAGATAGTTAGCTAAGAAACCAGTTTGATAGAATTCTTAGTATAGATATTGACAATGCTTTTCTACGGTAAATGCATATATTTATTTCATCATAATTATAAGACTTGTTTGAAAACAGGGAGTTTTGCTTTAAAGAAATTATATTTTTGCAGTACAGAATGAAAGTGTACCTCAGTCTAGACTTGCTTTCACTGAACAACCAAATCTTACCTTCTATCGGTAACCTTGAAAAAGTTCCGTGAGAAGTAGGTTCATGAGAAGTGGTTACTTTCGTTTTGTAAATAGTATTTTCTGTATTGGGAACACTAACATAGTTACGCCCTTGGTGACAGATACTTCTTTTGTTTTAAAAAAAATTGACATACCACATTATTAAACTGACTTTTATAATGACATCCTAATAAAGTTGATAATAATTCATTCTTCGATCCTTTTTCATATACTTATCATATTATGGCATTTTAGAAGTTTATTAACACATCATTATTATTAGAACTGTTTGTTCCTCGATTATTGAAGTTTATGTACTGATTTTTATTTCTGATTATTATCAATGTATTATCAGATGAGTACCCTCAATGTTATTCCTCGCCCTCTAATTGAGAACGTTATCTCTATATTTACATTTGTTGACGAATGTTTTTATAGTTATTACGCTTTATTAAGTCCAATACAGGATATTTTGTTACTGCGTTGTTTTTTAAAAGAAATATACCTGAACAATCAATAATTTTCTGTTTTTATTTGTAAATATGTAGAAAAGCAGTTTTTATTTTACTTATTTTTAATTTTGCTTTGATACAAGTAGTTGTCAGTCGTTTATTTTGGTGAAATTTAGATGTAATACTTGTTGGTTGGTTGGTTTGTAATTAAGCTCAAAGCTACACAATGGGCTATTCGTACTCTGCCCACCGCGGGTATCGAAATCCGGTTTCTAGCGTTGTAAGTCCGCAGACATGCCGCTGTGCCATTGGAGGGCTAGATGTATTACAGTTACATATATATACCAAATTATTTCACTATATGAAATGTACTAATTAGTTCCTTTCTTATGACTAAAGCTTTAATTGAATGTGAACCTGGATTTGCATATCCTGTACTTCCTTTTGAATTACTTCTTCCATCATTGATCCGGTCTGGTAGAAAAAATTACGCACTACAACAATATATTTTACTTAAACTACGCATCTAGATAAAATATTCCCGTTACACTCTCCTCTGTATGTTGATGTTGGCTACTACATCCATATTTAAACAACCTAATTACACAAAGTCCGTGGATCCATAAGTAGTTATCGGCGTCCAAAGGATGCTGCCTCAGTGGGGGTCGCCAGGTGAGTGGAGATCAAAGAATGTCGCATGAAAGGTACATAACTATTACATAATATGTAATTATGCCGACACATGACGGTTACGTAACTTTTCATAATATACAAAGGATGTCGACCCCTGAGTATTACATAACTATTAGGTCGTCAAAAAATTAATGTCACGTTTTGGAACACTTTCATTAAACATCCCCCAAAAAACGTACCTCAAGTATAATAGTTAAACGAACTGGTATATTTAAGCGTTTTACACTCATAAAACCTATCATTCTATAGGTATTGGAAGAACTTGTTGTTGTAGAACAAATGTTTAAACAACTCTATTCAGTTAAACGAACTGGTATATTTAAGCGTTTTACACT